GACGAGAACCTCGGGTCTCCTACACGTAATCGTGGAGTGTACGCGAAAGAGTTCCCTTCGAGCTATGTTGGCTGCCCTCTGACATTGTTGAGAGGGTGAGAAGTCGTGTGGTATAATTACTCCCAGATCCTTAACTTCTCGCCCCCTCTTAAGCTGAATATCGTACTGTATGTCAAGTTCAGCTTCTACTGTTAGAAGCTGACACAGCTAGGTTGAGCGGAAGATCCTGCAGGTCCTGATGTACTTTCGCTTCAGCCACCTTGAAGTCGTCCGCGAACATGAAGCACGGGTTGTTGATTCCCCTTGGTAGGTCGTTGACGAACATCAGGAATAGCAGTGGGCCTAGCACAGAACCCTGGGGGACACCGCTAGTCATGTTGGCCGGCACCGATAAGTGCATACCAACCTTGACCAGGAAGGCGCGATTTTTTATAAAGGAGTAGACCCACTTTCTAATTTTCCCCCCTATTGCCAATAGTTGTAATTTTAGGTCTAAACTCTGCTGACTTACCGAGTCAAAGGCTTTGCTAAAGTCCAGGTAACCGACCTCGACATGCTGTCCCTCGTCTAAGCGTCGTGTGATCTCATCGAGGAAGGCAAGCAGATTTGATAGACAAGACTTCCTCTTCATAAAGCCACTTTGAGCTGGCGTTATTAGCTCATGTCCTACGAGGTAAGCAGCCATACGCTTGCGTACAATCCTTTCTAGGCTTTTGCATAGGACTGATGTCAGACTTACTGGTCCATAGTTTTCAGGCCTTTTGCTTTGACCCAGATTTATGCAGAGCAACTACCGTCGCTCTTTTTCAATCTCCTGGTATTTCGCCTATATCTAGAGATGCCTGAAACATTTTTGACAGAGGCCCTTGGAGCATCTCTGCTAGAGGTTTAACAATAGCGGGATGGATGCCATCCGGTCCCGCTCTCTTGAACTTATTCACGGTAGCTAACTCGCAAAGGACTTCGTCCGGTGTCACAGTTATTTCAGTCAGCTGTGATGCCGCACTGGGATAATTTGCCATAACCAACGGTGATGGCTGTCTGTTTACCCCCTTAAAGAAAGCCATAAGGGTATTTGCCTCTTCTTCCTCGCTTCGGACAAGACATTCATTAGTGCTTTCTAACGTTCCAATTCCCTCTGTTGATGCCATTTGGGATTAAACGTAAGCGTAGAACCTCTTTGGGTTCTGTGTTGCTTTTATCGCAATCCCATGTTCATAGTCGTAGCTGGCCCTTCGCTGCAGCGTCTGTGCATGGTTTCTTGCTGGCTTGTAGCTAGACCATGCCTGATACGAATTGAGCCGTTTGAAAAGCGCCCACTTCCTACTCCTTGTG